CGCGAACTGCGGTCAACTACGTGGGAGTCCAGTGACATAGCCATTACACTAACTGCTGGTTCCCTATTTATTATTATTTTTTAAAATTTGAGCAGAGACAGACAGGGAAAGTGAGAAAGCAATTCACCAGGTCTGGGACTCGAACCACAGTCAGCCATGTGGGAGTCCAGCATTGTAACCACCAGACCACTTGCTGACCCCTTTTCCAGATCTTTAATTCATCCTGGATAACCCTGCTCGTGACAGCCCTGCAGATCTTTCAAGATCCAGCTTGGGCTCTTTAAGTCTCAGCCACAGAAGCGACATGACGAAGGGAACAGGGAACGTCATCGTTTGGGAAGCGTCGCAATAAGATGCACACGTTGTGCCACCACTGTGGTTCTAAGGCCTATTACCTTCAGAAGTAGACCAGATGTGGCTACCCTGCCAAGCGCAAGAGAAAGTATAACTGGAGTGCCAAGGCTAAAAGACGCAATACCACTGGGACTAGTTGAATGAGGCACCTAAAAATTGTATACCGCAGATTCAGGCATGGATTCCGTGAAGGAACAGCACCCAAACCCAAGAGGGCAGCTGTTGTGGCATCCAGTTCATCGATTAGTCAGGATTTCAACCATTAGTCAGCCAATGAATGTTCTTGTTTTTTTTTTTTTTTTTTTTTAAAAAAAAGATCTAGCTTGGAGCATCTTCCTCTGGGAAGCCTTCCTGGAGCCCTCAACTAGAAGTGCTTTCTATTTCCTCCAAATTCCTGGGCACTAGGAACATGCCTCTTCTGGGGCCTTATGGCTGGCCATGCGGCCACACCTGTTTCCCCCAGGGCTCCCTGCTCAGAACCTGTTACTCAGATGTCCAGTAGCTCCATCTTATATATGTGAGTTAGTTTTGGAATCTTTATGTTCCCCCCACCCCAGGAGATTTATCTATAGGAGTCCTTTGGCTTCAGCTATCTTGTGTGTGCTCGTGGCTTCACGTGACTAACTCACTCCATCATTAGGACAATTTATGAGTTAGGCAGGGTTTGATAGACAGGGCAACTTCAGGTGTAGTGAGGTTAAGTAACTTGCTCAAGGCCACACGGCCAACAAAGGGTAGAGGTGAGATGATTACTCCGACATCCACACTTTTGGCCACATGACTCTGAGCACATGGCGTGAGAGGAAACAGGGAAGCTGGACTCATGGAAATTGAAACGGAAAACGTGGTAACAACGCCTCATTGGTGCTCAAGGTAACTGCCCAGACCCTTTCATATATATCACCTCATGAAACCCTTACAACCACCCCTGAGGTGTGTGCCCATTGTACAGATGAAGAAACTGAGACTCTGTCTTTCCTTTTCTTAAGTTAGAATAGTCCCTAGGTCATTTGATTCCATTTATCCCACCAGCTAGCTTTCCAACAGCCATAAGCGAGGCCACCCCTTTTCCCTCCTTCCCTGTTTCCAATGTCCCCTAACTGCCCATTGTCTGGGTACATCCAACTCTCGCCTCCTGTCCAAGCCCTCTCCTCCCCATACTCACCCTGAGCTTTCATCAGCCCTGGGCAAACATCCAGAAAAGAACATCGGATACCTCCTCATCACAACCATTTCCCACCATAATCCTATAGCTGAGAAAAGGGAGAGGCAGAAAGTGGAAGTAAAGGGGCTGGTGGGGAGTACTCACCCAGTGGCAGAAGGAAGAGGAAGGACAGGGCTGGGGGCAGGGCTGAAAGGGCAGTGCTCCCATCTGCTGGCCTCCACCCCCTGCTCTTCTCATCCATCTGGAGACCAATTCCCATCTCTGCGTCCTTATGCATTCTGCCCATGAAAGAGCTTTCAAATGGTCCCATCAAGGGGCTGAGGAGAAGTCACAGCTGGAACATCTGGAATTAAAGATCCCAAGTGTTTACTTCCAGTGGGCAGGACCAGCTTCATGGGGAGATGCCATTTCCACCTGGGGTTGGCATTTTGAGTGTAGGTAGCAGCAGGAGCAACAGCTGGTAGACCAGAAAGAAGTGTGGACAGAAACCAATATAGAGTGAGGTTGGCTGGAACCAAGATGAGAGAGGAAGGCAAGGAGAGGGCACTGAGGCTGGGACAGCTGGCTGTACCCACACCAAGACAGGTGCATCCCAAAGTGTGGTCCTGGTGCTCCAGTGGCCACCATAATTTTAGGGTAGTACAGATGTAGGTTTATTATCTTATTCTCTTGGATTTCTTTTCTCTTGCTCTCTCTCTCTCTCTCTCTTTTTTTTTTTTTTTTTAGAAGTTTTTGCTATAGGGGGAATGTGACGCCAAGACAGAGAGAGAGAGAGATAGAAAGTGACAAATTACTCCCCAGGGGAATGGCCACACCGCAATCCCTTCTCTTCCATTCTCCTCTCGGGATCTTGGGCACGCACACACACGCACCCAGCGTGAGTTTAAGCCACCGGGTCTGGGACTTGAACCTTGGTCAACTACATGGGAGTCCAGCGACATAGCTATTATGCCAACTGCTGGTCCCTCTCTCCTTTTTTAAAGAAATAATTATTTATTTAATTCCACTTGTTATTATTATTATTTTAAATTTTGACCAGAGACGGACAGAGAAAGGGAAAGCGAGAAAGGAAACCACCATATCTAGGACTTGAACTGCAGTTGGCCATGTGGGAATCCAGCACCCTTAACCACCATGCCACCTGCTGGCCCCGCCTTTTTAAAGAATTAGTTAATTTAATTAATTAATTAATTAATCCTAATTTGACCAGAGAGGGACAGAGTGAGAGGCAGAGATAGAGAGATGGGGGGAGTGAGAAAGCAAGCTGCTAGGTCTGGGACTAGAACTGTTTTGGCCATGTGGGAGTCCAGCACCCTTAACCACCACCTCACCTGCCAGCCCCTCTTTTTTTTTCTCTTTGATTTCTTTTTACAGTGCCTTGTATTTATGGCAAAGGACTCTGATTTTCCATTTATTGGAACAACAGAATTTCCCTTTAAAATTAGTTCAAACCAGCAGAAATGAGTTTATTTAAAGAAAAATATATTAAAGAAATCATAGTTTCTATGGCTCACAAATATGGTAGAAGAATGTCAGGGAGAGAAAATGCTATTTGGTTCTGTCCTTTCAGAGTGGGAAACTTTCAAAGTATTATTAAAATTTCGGATTAAGGGGCCAGCAGGTGGCATGGTGCTTGAGGTAGACTAGATTCCCACATGGTTGGCTGCGGTTTGAGTTCAGGACCTGGTGGCTTGAAACTCACGCTGGGTGCTTGTGCATGCGTGCCCAAGATCCTGAGAGGAGAATGGAGGAGAAGGGATTGCGACGTGGCCATCCCCCCTGGGGGGCGATTTCTCGCTTTCTATCTCTCTGTCTCTCTCTGTCTGTCTGGCAAGTGCATGCACCCTATAGCAAAAACCTCTCCAAAAAAGAAAAAAAAAAAGTGCTCACATTGTAAGGTACAGCTCACATCACGTAACCAGCACTGAGAAGTTGTCCCCACCCAAGCACCCCCACCCATGTCCTCTTCCCTTGCAGATTTCTAGCAGGAGTCTGGACACAGCATGGGGATGATGACTGGGGAGAGATGGGAGGCTGATTTAGAGGCTGATATGATGGTCCAGACTTCAGATAATGACTAACAGAGAGAAAGGACAGATGGCAAAAGGTGACTGAGATGCTGAGTTACGAGGACTGAGCTTCTGTCTGGGGGAGACAGAGAGAGAGGAACAACTAGTTGTGTCCCACATGGATGGGACCATAGGAGGAAGTGGTAGAGTGGATGTTCTGTTTGGGATATATGAGAGATCTTCGAAAAATTCCTGGATGAGCCAACACATAACACCAAGGTTAAGAGCTGTGCTTAGGAAGCTGGACCTCACGTGGTCAACTGCAGTTCAAATGGCTTGAAAGACACACTGGGAGTGTACACATTCATGCCCAGGATCCTGAAAGGAAGGAATGGAGGAAAGGGGATTGTGGGGAGACCAGGCCCCACCAGGGGGTGCTTTCTCTCTCTCTCTGGCATGCATACATACTCTCTGACAAATATATATATATATCATCTGGGGACCAGCATATGGATTAATGGTTACATCGCTGGACTCCAACGTAGTGAACCGCAGTTTGAGTCCCGGACCCAGCAGCTTCAAACTCATGCCAGGCACGTGTGTGTGTGTGTGTGTGCGTGCCCAAGATCGCAAGAGGAGAATGGAGGAGAAGGGATTGCAGTGTGGCCATCCCACCTGGTGGGGAGGGGGGGATTATGTCTTGCTTTCTGTCTCTGATGAGCAAATTCACCCTATAGCAAAAAATCTCTCTCTCTAAAAAAAAAAAACTGAGGCCATAGGTGGCATAGTGGTTAAAGGCATTGGACTGTCACATGGTCAGCTGTGGTTCAAGTCCTGGACCTGGCGGCTTACTTTCTCACTTTCCCTCTCTCTGTCTGATTAAACTGTAAAACAACAACAACAATAATAATAATAAAATATAAAGTTAAATAATTCTAAAAAAATCATCTGACAGATGATCTGAAAAAAACAGTTCATGGGAAACATACATAAATGAAAAAAATTATAAATGGACTTAACATTCTTTTGCACCAAAACAAACTCATTCTTTAATTCCATTTTCCCATGAATGCTTCAAGTCCCCTTGTATTGAGAGTAAAGTGCCTGGAGACATGAGTGCATTCCCAGAAGGAACTCCCGCTTGCCCACCTACCCCCTCCCTGGTTTGGCCCCCTCCCTGGCATACAAACAGTCCAGTTGGAGAGAGGATGAAAACCTATCTGGATGTGGACACAGGGATTTCAATACCCCATTCATGGGGCTCAGTACAGCCCCCAATGGAATAATCAGCTATTGTCTCTCTCTCCCTGGACTGGAGACAGCTGGGAGATGGGAACTGAGAACTGTGAGGAGGGGGAGAGCTGTAGTCCAGTCTCTGCTGGGGGGACACACAATTAGCAGGGCCTTCCTCCATCTCCCAGCCTTGGAGCCATCCACTTCTCAGGCTACTGGGGCACCCCTAGGCCAGATCAGCCCTTGTCCTGTAGGTATGGGGACAGACAGCTTCCAAGGAACTTGCTGGGAATCCTCAGGTCCCCTGTCACCTCTGCTAAGAAATAAAGCAGAAGGGCCCCTGATCCTGACCTCCATGAACCTCAATTTCCAGCTGACCCCAGAGCTCAACAACTTACTTCCCAGCTCTGAGCTTGACCCCTCCAGGCTGTTTCTGGCTCATATCCTGGGGACCTTGGTTAGGATGAGGCTACATCCTTCCCTGCCTGGGAAACTGGCTCTTGAAAGCTCTCATGGTCCCTCTTTACCGTCCATCGGTGCACCTGTTGCCCTGGGTGCCTCTTAACAGCATCTGCAAGTGGCTTAACACAGTGGTGGACGCATCAACTCCACCTACCCCTGTGTGACCTGCTAAGCCTCACTGCTTTTATCTGTAAAAGGGGATTGATAAACTTATCTCTTAGAGTGGTTGCTAGTATAAATAAGCTAATGTTTATAAAAGGTTTAGCTGTGTCTGGCTCACCATAATTGTGGTAACTATTGTTATTATTACGACTCCCCAATAATATATTGTGAGCCCTCCAGGGCAGGAGCCAGATGTTTTTCAGCGGTAACACCTGGCTCAGGGTGGATATTCAGGAAATGTTTGTTGAATGGCTGAATGAAGTTTATGGCTACCAAATGGTAGGATGAAGCCCTCAGAAGAAGCCTGAGAGATCATCAAGAATAACTTCTCATCTGACCAGTGGGAAGCTGTTGTCACACACACACACACACACACACACACACACACACACACACCAGCAAAAGTGAAGGATTCATACCTGGGGGAGTGTTCTGGGCTCTTTCTGTCCCTTCTTCTATAGTCAATCCAAGGCCAAATTACTTTCTCTGCCCCTGAAAAGGGGAGAATCCCCCAAATACAAATCCACACGGACTTTTCTTCTCTTCTTTGCAGAGATGGGAGGTGAGCAGAGGCAAAGTCCCTGTCCATGGAGCTGGCTGGTGTCCCCAGCCTGTCCCCACCCGACCTTAGGGGCAGAGGGAGGCACAGGAAGAGTGGAGGTGGCCTGCGCCGCCGTCTGGAGCAGCCCCAGAGAAAGGGCACCTGGTCAGAGGAGGAGCTATGGGGGTGAGGGGGGAGGCTTGGATTCCCAGGCCAGGCAACCCCTCCTCCCTTTCCCCCACCCAAGGGCTCAGGTTTCAGAAAGGCCTGGCAAGGTCTCCACCCCTTTGCAGGGCAGCCAAGCATCCCTCATCTGGGACAGCCCTGATCCATCCTGGGGAGTCCCCTTGATCTGTCCTGATCCACCTCTCAGCTGGAGACTTGGCCACTCAGCAGAAATCACAGTGTATGGGGTGGACATCCCACATTGGTAGGACACCACTACCTGATTTTGCCTTATTGTTTGGTTCTTCTTGAGTTCTGGTTCCTCCTTTTTTTTTTTTTTTCTTTCAGTTATAGGTAAGGGAAAGCTAAATGCAGGGCAAGCCCCATAGTGCAGTGGTTAAAGGCTGTGCAGAGGAGGCCAGATCCCATGTAGCCGACCAGGGTTTGAGTCCCATTCCATTGGACTGAATAGGCATACCCACATTCTCAGGATCGTGATGAGATAAAGAATTGAGGACAAAGCATAGCAGCATGACCAGGCCTTGCTGGGATGTCTTTTCTCTCTCTTTCTCTCTGTCATGTGCATGCATGCACATCTGACATATAAATAAAATAATAAATATTTTAAAAATAAAAGAAAGTGACATAGAGCTTATTCCGAACTTTGTAGATGCCATAAAGTGCTGTGTGGGATTCTGTACCTTC